TGGTAGTGCACACCTGTAATTCCGGCTACTTGGAAGGCTGAGGATTGCTGGAGCCCAGCAGGTCGATGCTGGGGTGGCCATGAGTGTGTCACTGCACTCCAGCCTGGGCAACAGAGTGAGACTTCGACTCAAAAAAAAAAAAAAAAGTATAAATCATTGCCGTTGTTTTTGGTCTGTAATTTTTTTTTTTTTTTTACACACACAGTCGTATACTAGAACATTCTTCTAGCCTATGTAAAGATTAGGCAGAAGAGCAATTGTTGCCCAAATCAGAGTGAGCCCTCCAGGGTAATCTAGGGGTTAAAGCTTCAAGTACTACAGATTTGCTTTTTTTTCTTTTCTTGTTTGTCATCACAGGGGAAGAGATAGAGTGAGGTGGGAGAGCTTTCTGGGCACCATGTGTATTTAATCTAAAACAACAACCATTTACAAACACAAAAATAATTTTTTCCCTTCCAGTATAGTCATTACAGTTCAAAAGGATTTTTGCAGCTTTATATTTAACCTTAATTCTGGTTGAAAAAGGACACTTCGTTCCTCTTCAAACATTTTTTGAAGGTTTTAGACATGGATTTGAAATATATTGCTTTTAAATCATCAAGTTTTTCTCTAATAACTTTAAAAGTAGATTCAGGATCAGCACTCACAGCCCCAGTGCCAAAGGAAGATTAAAATAATCACAACTCAGACAGATGCCCACACTCCCCTTCAATGTGTGCTTTGGGAAGTGGGTTTTAAATACAATTTGAACATAAATACAGATTACACATTCATGAAAGTCACTGTGGCTTCCATTTGAAATTACCTGCGTTCTAAGAGCTGTCCTTGCAGGAACAGATATGGGCAGTGCTTCTTCATAAATATCCTGCTTTCTAATTCAGAAGTTCTGAATGCCAGTGATAAAAGTGATCTCATTTTCAGTTGCCTTTAAGAAACTGAAAATAATTTTTATACAAAGAGCATGTACATGTGCCTACATATGTGTATATATACATATATGAGGAGGGACCCCCAAAAACTTTAAAAAATTGTGTATTTATTTTTACACGTTTAAACTTCAGTCACCTTTACAGTACTCTCCATTTGATGCACTACATCTATCAAGATGCTTTTTCCACTGTTGAAAACAGTTTTTTTTTTTTCCACCAGTTTTTATTTATTTATTTTTTTAACTTTAAAATTTTTTATTTTAAAGATGTGGGGTAAAATTCAAGGTTAGGTATACAAACGTTCATTATGCAGGTACCTTTGTTGATGATGTTCAAAATAGTTTTTGAACTCATCGATTTGATGCCTTTTAGTGCTTCTGCCATTTTTTGTTCCACTTCATCCACATTGGCAAAATGTTTCCATTTGAGGACTTTTTCCATCCAGGGAAACAAAAAAATAGTTTCTCGAGGTGAGATAGGTGAATAGGGAGGGTGGGGCATTGGGGCCATGCCATTTTTTTTGTAAAAAAACTGCTGAACACTCAACACCGTGTGGGCAGGTGTGCTTGTAAATCACCCATCATGAAATGGGCAAACATGTTGAAAGAATCTCCAAAAATTTTACTGAAGCCAAACATAGCCTCTCACAACAATGATAGCAGGATGCCAATTGGTTCCTAGAACACTCCTAGACCCTAGCAGGGGAATACTGTACTATAAGGGGCCCACCCTCCAAAAAGACAATTCCAGATTTTTTTGGGGGGGAGTCCCTCTTGATTATCATTTAAGTTTATCTATCAGGAAATCTAACTGGCCCAAGTGACAGTCCATTGGGAGACGATGGTCTGGAATCCTGCATCCAGCCAGAGCTGAGAAAGGAACAAATCTTTCGAAAAAAAAAATGCCCAAAGAAACTTAAAAGGTGCAAAAGCTTGTGTACCAAGCATTCGCATGTCATCCTTCCTTCTACAGCATGGCGGGGATTCTTGCAGATCCCACACGCAGTGCTCGGCGAGAGCCCATGATGGGAGCAGGACAGGCAGCCCCAGCAGGTGAAGGAAGACAGACAAGTAAAGTGGTAGTTGCAGTGGTGAGTGGAGAGCCCCACAGGAGGCAGAGATTCTCACAGTGGCTGCATACACAGTGGAGGCTCGGTGGTATTAGGAAGCCCCCAGGCATTCTGGTAAGCAGTCAGCGTGGAGACCACCCTACGGGGCCAGTGCAGTGCAGGGCACTATGGGAGCAGCCAGGGCAGGGCTCTCACACCTTGGTGGGTGGCAGAATCACCCGTAGATTTCTTCAGCACAAAGAGTGGGCTGCACCCTCAGGGTGTTTGGAAGGTAGTTGGTTAGAGTTTGCATTTCTGTCACATGCCCTGATGATGCCTACGCTGCTGGTCCTGAAACCACACTTTGAGAATGACTGTAGTGAGCATAAAGATCCCAGCTCAGGGAACTGACCTGGGTTTTCCAGAGGAAGTGATATCTGCAGTTGAAGGTGAACTGCAAGTTTGGGCCAGAGCTGGGAAGGAGTGTGAGAATAAATACACCAGTGACCAGTGTGTGTATGGCAGTGATGGACAGGAAGGCTGGAGGGAAATGGCCACAGAAAAATATGCCAAACAAGCACCTGGAAGTAGATCTGAGGACCTGCAGAACGTTCAGACTGACCAGCTGCAGCTAGGGAATGGGGGCACACAGGTCCACCAGGGATTTGGGGTTACATTTTAGTGACTAAATGGAGAGAGGATGTGATCGGATATGTGTTTTTGTAAGTTTCCTGTAATTACATTCCTGAGCATGGGTTGAAGGTGGGCAAAACTGGATTAAGTCTAAGTAAGAAGCTTTTGCAGTCTTCAAATAAAAATATGATTTGTACATGGATGGTGGCAGTGGGGAAGGAAGAATGGACAGATTCCAGAGGCACACGAGACAGAGTTGGTGACTGGCTGAGGGCAGAAGAAGGAGATTGGAAGGAAAGCTTAATATCTGGATTTGGTTACTGAGTGTTCTATTGATGCTTATTCCTCATGTGGTAGAGTGAGAAGTTATAGGGGGTTATAGGCTGGGACACATTGAGTTTGGGGTGTCTGGAAGACCTTGAAACAGACATTGAGGGGGTGGGAATAAGCTGGTTTGGAGTGCAGTGGGCACTGGAGATATTGGGTGGTTGTCAGCATAGAAAGGACAGCTGACAGAGGAATATCCAGGAGCCTCCTGAATGAGCAGGAAGACTGAGAGAAAAATGGATGGTCATGTGGGGTCACAAGCGTCTTGGGTTCTGGGGAGATTTGGGTGGCTGAGGTTGAGACAAGCACGATTGCTGTTCACTCACATGTCTTAGAAGTGAGGTTGAATAAATGAGAGGGGGTTTTCTTGCAGGGGTCTTTTGGGGTCTGTACATGGAAGGCAGGAGACTGCTGCTGCTCTTGACTTCTAGGAGAGAGGTGCCTTAATGTTATTCTCTCCCCTGTCGCTCAGGGAGAGCAGGAACCCTCAATCTGCTCTAGCGAGCCCAAGGCAGGGCACTGCTGGGAGATGGAAAAGACTGTGTCACTTCGAGCAAACTGTTGCTTCTTCGCCACAGAGCTCTAAGTTAGTCACCTAAAACATCAGGTCTCTGGCCACCAGGACAGTCTCTGTTGCTGGGAACACACTATAGTACTGAGGTTGTGCACTGAGAAAAGTGAGACCTGGCTGCCTCTTTGTCCTTTGTGTGTCTGGCACACTTTATGCTACCGGGCTTGGGCCAGTGCCTGTATCTAGAGGCAGCATCAATTAAAAGAATGTCTACCCTCAGGGAACTTATTTAATAGGGATGTAATGTGATATGTTTACATCAAGACTCTCTGAGACAATAAAGAATATAATTGCAAACAATGTAGTGTGATATACATAGTATATAAATGAGTAAATATCAATTGAACAAATAAAAACTTCAAACGCACCCTGTTTTTCTAGCATTTACTAGACTTAACAGTGCTTTCATTGTCTTTCAGAAAAGGACAGAAAGGACCTGCCATCACAAAGGCTACATAAGCCACATGCACAGTCCTTGTGTGAGTCTTTTAGTTCCTTCTGTACCCAACCCCATTCTGCTTCTAGAATGTCCAGCGCCCACCATGCTGCTGGACCAGCTGCTCCAGGAGGTTGGGCAAGGGAATGCATTGCCTCCCTTTCTGCATTTGTGAAACCACACACACACAAATACAGAAGTAATGGGCCTTTCTATGTTTCTATTCTTTTCTTTCTTTCTCTTTTTTTTCTCACCTCCTCTCATGTTTTCCTTTCTTTTTCCTTTGGGGGAGGGGGACATGGAAATGTTTTTTCATAACTCTACAAAATTAATATGTTACCTGAACAAGTCATCAATAGTTGAACAGTGTTTCCTGAAGGTATGTAGGGGTATTTCTTGATGAATTACCAGCTATGATTTAGGCTGGGCAGTATACTAAAGCTTACAGAGCTCAAGAGAAACAGAACTGGGACCTTCCAACGTGAAAGTAATCTTTTATAGTCATTGTGCTTCCTATTTTGACTTCTGCTTTAAGTGAACATGCCATTTTAAATGTTAGAAGATGCCCTACTGATTTTGAAACATCTCCCTTCACAGACTCAATACCATCCTTCGCCATCAACATGGCAAAAATTTCAAACTACAGTGCTAACCCACTCTCTCAAACGATGTAGTACTAAATAAGAAGCTATAGTACGTTCTCTCCTGGAACACCATCTTATTCACTCATTCAGAGGAAGAACGACTGGGGTGAATTAAGCAAGATGAAACACTTCTATCTTCACAACTGTTTTCCTTTTCACATCAGGAAAACTTGATCCTTATTAACTCCTGGAAAGCCCACAGTGGTGTTTGCCATCTGTATACTGCTTCCTGTGTCTCCCATCTCATACCCTGCATGATAGCTAGAGTATTAAGCAATAATGTAAATTTTGAACCAGAACTTGCTAGTGTCTCACACACAAAGACCTAATTGGGGCAGTGGCTTCCCAGGCCACCCCTGGGCATTGTCCTTGGACTCCAAGAGAGGCACAAAGAAGAAAGACAACTGCTTACCATTGTCGTTGCCCTGTTTGATCTCCTCTGCTGTCCGGTCTATCAACACGTACAGAGACCAAACCACACAGGTGATGGCGATGACATGAAAGGTGACAGAGCAAAATATTTTCCTCCTTTCACTTGTGGTCATCTGTAGCTTCTCCCACTGCAATCAGAAACAAGCCACACAGAACTGAATTTCTAACTAGGAGGTTTCACTCCCCTTTTATTTACAAGACATCATGAATGAAAAACAAGCATTAAATATCTGCAGTTTCAGATGACACTGTAGCATTCACATAAGTCTTCATATGTGGAGAGAGATGAAATCATACCCTACAGAGTTATACATAACTTATATATTGACATGAAAACAAAAATGTTTCAATTTTCCAAATAAAATAAATCATTTCTGTTATGCAACTATGGAGTTTCCTTATTGGTAATATAAATAAGATAGTTTTACTACTGTACAATTGTTAGAAAACTTTTCAGGTTTTGGTCGCTTATCTGTGGTACTAGGTTATAAGTAGTAACAGGTAACACTGTCTTCTTGGATTATTACACACTTGAAATAGTGTTGTAAATAACAACAGACGCTGGCAAGGATGCGGAGAAAAAGAAACGCTTCTACACAGCTGGTGGGAATGCATACTAGTGCAATTTCTTTGGAAGACAGTGTGGCGATTTCTGAAAGAACTAGAAATTGACCTGCCATATGGCCCAGCAATTTCCCTATTGGGAATATACCTGGATGAATTCAAATCATTCTACAAAAAGGATACCTGCACACGTATGTTTGTTGCAGTTCAATTCACAATAGCAAAAACATGGAACCAACCATGTTGCCCATCAAAGCTGGACTGGATAAAAAAAATGTGGTACATATACACAATGGAATATTATGCAGCCATAAAGAAGGACAAACATATGGACTGCACAGCAACTTGGATGAATTTAAAGTCCATCATACTCAGTGATCTATCACATAAACAAAGAACAGAGTACCATATGTTCTCATTCATAAGCGGACCTTGAACAATTATCATAATACTATGAGAAAGGAATTGGCGGTAGTGGGAAACTCCAGGACAGGGGGTTGGGATTGGCAGTTGAGGGAAACTGCCAGGGGAGGGAGGGGCACACCTCATCAACAAGGGTTTCTGAATAATCAACGTTTGTATACTTAACCCTGAATTGTACCCCACATCTTTAAAATAAAAAAATAAAACATTTTAATTTTTTTATTGAATTAAAGTTACTATTACAAAAAAAAAGAAATAGTGTATTTGTGAACATACAAATTTAACAAGTACTTGACTGGCTGAGTGATATGTGCAGAAGAAGACCAACATTTTCTGTCCATAACTCTTCTAGAAAAACAAATTTTATTATTTGAGCAATTGGAGGACATCTGCTGAAGCCCCTTCTAAAACAGACTTGTCTTCCTACTGTCGTAGGGTTGGAGGTGATGTCAGATGGTGTGTGGTGGTTAGTTGCTCTGTGGGTTCTTGACTTTGTCACAGAAAAGAATTTGAGTGAATCCAATGTATAGTTTAGAGGGAAGTTTATTAGAAAAAAAAACACCATTCAAGAACAAATTTGGGTACCTTAAAAGGACACATGCTTGCCTTTCACAAGCTTTGTATAATGTTTATAATAATGATGAAGTAAACTATTCCATAAGCTAAGAGTGAGGGGCTGCAGGTATACTGGTCACATGTTTTGATTACTATCTTTTAAAATTTTAGGGTCACAGAGCCCTTCTAAATAATGAAAGATACTGCCTAACTAGATTTGGGCTTTGCTTAGAACAATATACCTTTGCTCTTTGGGTAATTCCTCGTTGTTTCTATTATTTAGTATACTGGCCATTTTACATTCCTACCTGCAAGGTGGTGAGGTCTGATATTCCTGGTTAGTCATATAAAGGTCATGTAAGCATAAGAAAGATGTCTGAATGCTTACCCTGTTTCTCAGTTTTCTAAATAAGTTCTGCCTAAGAAAACTTGCCTATTCCTAACCTATGTGTCATGTTAACTATGCCTGCCTCATAACTACTGTGATGACCACTGTCCCTTAATCACACTTCTCAGAAAGTTGTAGGCTTCTCCCTCTGTCTGAAAAAGGAAGCAGGCCACAAGTCTTATAGAAGTAAGTTAAGGTTTATATGAGGGAATGTTTCCCATATTTACTTTGAAGAAATACATTTTAATGTTTATGTACTATATCACTTCATTTCTGTATTAGCAATGAATTGTGTTTTTATTTTCCTTTGTGTTATTTCTGTAAGACTATCAAATCCTATAATTTTGTTAGAGGTGAACTGATGTGCCAACCTTTTAATAATCATGAGTCTTTACATTATTATGTCCTTGCTAAAGCAAAATGTTTAGAACTTCAGAAGACCCCGCTTCTTCCCCACCCACCATTGCACACTTAGATTCAATATACAACCTGACAAAACCAAGGGGCTGTATAGTATGTGACACAAGTCCTGCCCTGCCATCTGCTTTCAGATGTGGTGAAGTCGTCTAATCTCTTAGGGCCCCACTGCTTCATCTTCAGAGAAGCAGATTTTTGCAGAGGCTGTGGTAGGTGGGGAAGACACCATCCACTCCTCACTTCTTCCTTTATTAACAGACTGGGAGGGCTGGCACTGTGCCCAGCTTGACACCACCTTTCCAGCCTTCCTGGGCAGAGGTGGACATTGCCAATTTTCCACTAATAAGATGGAAGTAGATATCTGCCGGGACATTGAGTTTTTGCCTTCCTTACACAGGAATTGTTCTGTTTTCCTTCTGTCCATTTTCTCTTCTTTGCCACGTGGAATTCATAATTAACTGAAAGAGTGTCAACAGTCATCTTGCAACCTTGAGAGGTGGAGCGGCTGTAGCCCTGTCAGCCACAGCGTGCCTTCAGAAGTCCTGATGCATGTGAAAGAAAACAGCCCTGTCTGATGAAGCCATTGCTTCCTGTGTCTCTGCTAATCACAGTCAAATGCAATTTCTGATAAAAGAATCAGACAGATACTTCCTTCCCTTTCAGTCTAAGGCATAATATTCTATCATTTTATTTTTAAGAGAGCTCAATACTTAAAGTCTGATCCTGATGAACTAGAGAACATTTTTAACATTTTATTTTATTTATTTTTGAGTTGGGGACCCTACTCTGTTGCCCAGGCTGGAGTGCAGTGGCACAATCACAGGTCACCACAGCCTCAACTTCCTGAGTTCAGGCGATCCTTCTGACTCAGCCTCCTGAGAAGCTGGGACTACAGGCATGTGCCACCATGCCTGGCTACTTTTTTTGTTTTTTTTGCAGAGATCTCACTATGTTTCTTATGCTGGTTTCAAACTCCTGGGATCAAGCAATCTGCTCACCTTGGCCTCCCAAGTGTTGGGGTTACAGGCATGAGCCTGACTATTTTAAACCTTTTAGAAAAAAAAAAAAGTTTTGTTTATAAACACCATCCCTTCCTCTCCTCTTACTGGTCAGTCTTTAAATAATGTTTCCTTCTAGGGCTCAGAGCTAATTTACAACTTAGGCTGTGTCTTGTTTTCCATGGAACTATATTTATGTATTATTCCAAGTATAATAGTGGAGAAATCTTAGTAATATGACTAGGGTATAAACAAATGCTTAAATTTAGCTTCTATTTAGAATTGGTCTTGAATTAAGATTTTAGCGCTATTTAACTTTTATCAAAACTTCATATCTGTGAAAGACTGATGTTTAAAATAGTGTTTTGGTACTGATTATTGTAATGTTAATATGAATAACCTTTAATCAAGAATATTATCACTTGGCAGTAGCATTTTGTGATTAATTAATATATATTTTTTGAGTTACCTTAGTATTTAATATGGCCAAATAAAAAGTATCAGATGGGTCAGAAAGTAACTTCTCATGTTTAAGTTTCCTGTGAGTTCTAAGTAGATAGAAATACCTTCAGTGACAAACTACAAAATCAGTCCTCAATTGTAAAACCAGCTTTTAAAAAACACTTAACACCTGGGCTTCTTATATCTATAGAGCAATCTGATGAAATGACTGGACACATTCAAAATTAATGAAACTCAAATAGAAAAATATCAGCAGAGTTGACAAGAATGGATCAAATCATTTGTAAAGACTCTTTCTAGTTCCAGACAATAGAAGCTCCGAAGCTGTCACTTCTAAATCTCAGTAACATTTCAGGGAGAAGTGAAGTGCAAAGGGACCATCAACCTTTTGTCTCTTTATAAATTTTTACAGGAACACTTCAGAAGCCAACCGGACAGGACACAAGTAAATGTAGTGCCACAGTGCCCCCTTCCTTGTGACAATGGTACTACATACAATATTCACTACATGGCACCAGCAGAAACCAATGTATTTTATAAACTTTTCATTCATACTGGTTTTTCAGGTTTGAACACAAAGTTTCCATAAGTTTTGCAAACCTTCACAGTGAGGAATTAATTGAGAAAGTAAGAATAGAAATCTTATTTTAACAAAGCTGTCATAAAAGAACCTTAATTTAAATTTGTGATACTGAAATTCAGTAGTAGTTCACAATGGATTTTGTGATGGGAAAGTGATCCTCTGTGAAAATCCACATAACATTTCTGTTCCCCTTTCTAGATTTAGACAATAATGTGTGCCTTATGTGCACACCATCAGGAACATGGTGTTACCATAGCTTTACCTTGAAAGGGGTTTTAAGGAAAAGAGCCACTTAGGGTTCTAAGTGTGTGGGACTCTGGTAAGCAGCAGCCATGTTAGCATTACTCCGGCACTTGTGAGAGATGCAAATTCCTTTCTTTACTTTTTTTTTTTTTTGAGTTGGGGGTCTCACTCTGTCACCCAGGCTGAAGTGCAGTGGCACGCTCATGACCATCCCAGTGTCAACCTGCTAGGCTCAGGTGATTCTTCCACCTCAGCCTTCGAAGGACGTCTGACTAATTTTTTGATTTATTATAGAGATGAGATCTGGCCAAGTTGCCCAGCTGTTCTCGAACCCGTGGGCTCAGGCAATCCCCTCACCTCGGCCTCCAAAAGTGCTGGGATTACAGGCTTGAGTCACCGTGCCCAGTCAAAGCAAATTCTTAAGCTCCACTTTTTTGTTTGTTTATAGAGATGAATTCTCCCTATGTTGCTCAGGCTGATCTCAAACTCCTGGGC